GGGGGGAGGCACAAACACAAACACACACATAATCTGTCTCACAGAAATGTGGTTTCTTAGAAGAGTGCTGGGAATTTCGTGGAAGGAAAAGAAATCAAATGAGGTAGTATTTGATGAAACCCACGAGGGCAGGAAAAGACAAATGCAGTTTTTGAGACTCTTGAATAGACAAAAAGGTCTTGAACATCTAGCTCTCACTGGCAAAATTGAAGGCAAACGATGCAGGGTAGGCCCAGAGTAACCTACTTAGAGAGCCTAAACAAATGGGTAATGTGGACAGATCAGGGTAATGTAGCTTTTGCTAAGAGCATCCAAGCAAAGGAATAATTAATGGAGAACCATGATCGCCGATGTCTGCACAGATCTGGCACTTGATGATGATGATGATGATGATGATGATGATGATGATGATGATGATGATGATGATGATGATGATTGTGATCTTCCTGTTTGGAAGTTGCATCTCTCTCAGCCCATGTCAGGCCCTCCCAGTGCAAGTCGAAGCGAGCCTCCTAAATTAATAATATAAACTGTTTTGATGTTGTCGAAAAACTACTACAGTTGATTTGATTTCACACGCAAAATTTCTTTGTGTTCGCGGGGGAATACAACGTGTCTGAGTCTGATCTGTCTCCAAGGACCTTGCTGCATACCCTCCGTGTGTGTCTCTCCCAAGGGCTCCGATTTGGGCCAGGTCCAGTCAAGATGTGAACCCACGACCTTTTGTACAAGGTTACCTAAATTGCTGTTACATTACTAAGTTACTGCCAAAAATGTATCTATTCAGATAGTTTATTCTTCTATTCCGGATTTCATGATTTGACTAGCAACTGTAAGCTTATTTCGCAAATAATTTCCGAACTGCCGCAAGCTCTATGCACTTTTAAACCTACACACATGTATATCTATGATATCCCAGCAGACACGAAAGCATTCGGAAACATCTGCAACGTCATGATAAACATTCTGAAAGAAATGTCTTGAAATATTATGCTCTGGGCAACATCTGCTCTTCTCTTGCGCGTTTGATTTTGTTTCCAGGGAGTTTCGTATTTTTTATTCGTTTTGTTTTAATAAGGTTCTACGGCGCTCGCAACTGCATAAGGTCATATTATGAAGTGTCCTTTATTCTAAGAGAAGGAACAAAGATGGTTCTAAGTTCTAACAGAACTTTTATATGAGAAACGAATCAAAACAGTTGTATAAGCTTCGGTAGGGACATCTAAACGATAAGACTATATTATTATTTTTTTGCATGGATTTGTGGACGCTTTTGGTAGAGAGTGAAATCTGTTGTGGGAAAATTCTCTTTCCTTCGTTACATCTCCCAGTGAGTAAACAAGTCATGACATTCTTAAATGAAACAACATGGATGGCTTTGGCTTTATTTGAAAAGCGCTCGAGTTCACACGACTGTGTGTGAGTGTCTGCATGTGTTTGATCCTCAGGCCTTCTGCGCATCAGGTTGAATGAGAGAACAAAAAATGAAAAAGAAATATGACCTTTGCTTTCTGTTATGAGCCTCAGCTGGTGAGTGAGAATGAGGGGTGTGTGTGGGGGGGGGGGGGGGGGA